CCCTGTCTTACCCCTGTCCTGTACCCCCGTCCTGTACCCCCTGTCTGTCCCTGTCCCAGTCTCCCCGTCCTGTACCCCCTGTCCTGTACTCCCCGTCCTGCAATCCCTGTCCTGTACCCCTGGGTCCTGTACCCCTGTCCTGTACCCCTGTCCTGTACCCCGTCCTGTACTCCTATCCCACCCCCGTCCTACCCCTGTCCTGTACCCTGTCCCACCCCCTGTCCCACCCTGTCCTGTACCCCTGTCCTGTACCCCTGTCCCACTCCCCTGTCCTGTACCCCGTCCTGTCCCTGTCCTGCAATTCGTCCTGTACCCTGTCCTGTATTCCCGTCCTGTACCGTCCTGGTACCCCTGTCTTACCCCTGTCCTACCCCTAGTCCTGTACCCTGTCCTGTACCTCTGTCCCATCTCTGTCCTGTACCCCTGTCCTGTACCCCCGCCTACTCCCTGTCCTGTACCCCGTCTTACCCTGTCCTGTACCCCCGTCCTGTACCCCTGTCCCAGTACCCTCCCTACCCCGTCCCACCCTGTCCTGTACCCCTGTCCCACCCCCTGTCCCAGGACCCCGTCCTGTACCCTGTCCCACCCCCTGTCTTACCCCTGTCCTGCACCTCCGTCCCACCCTTCTGTCCTGTACCCCCTCTGTCCCATCTGTCCTGTACCCCTGTCCTGTACCCCTGCTCCACTCCCGTCCTGTAACTCCTGTCCCTGTACTCCCGTCCTGTACCCCCTGTCCTGTGTACCCCTGTCCTGTACCCCGTCCTGTACCCCTGTCCTGTACCCCTGTCTTACCCCTGTCCCAGCACCCCTGTGTCCTGTACCGTCCTGTACCCCCTGTCCAAAATCTCTGTCCTGTACCCCCGTCTTACTCCGTCCTGTACCCCCAGTCCTGTACCCTCCGTCCTGTACCCCGTCCTGTACCTCGGTCCCAGCCCTGTCCCACCCCCGTCCTGTACCCCCCGTCCTGTACCTGTCCTGTACCCCTGTCCTGTAACTGTCCTGTCAATCCCCTGTCCTGTACCCCTGTCCTGTACCCTGTCCTGTACCCCTGTCCTGTAATTTCTGTCTTACCCTGGTCCTGTAGTAATTTAGTTCTATTTTGGTCGTTCTAGTTTATGCTTCAGATTGACTCAAGATTGACTCAAACCATTTTAAGTGCCTTCTCTCTTCAGTTACATGATAAATATGCAAGAGAACCTTCCGAGTCTTGACCCACAGTGTTATGGGCGGTGGCTGCGGTGTGTCGTCAAGCCGTGTGTGTGTGTGTGTGTGTGTGTGTGTGTGTGTGTGTGTGTGTCAATAGCAGGGTGTTCAAATAGCCACTCAGAGACGTGTGTATATAGCTATTGTATACATGAAGACAGACAGGGGTACACACACACACACACACAGTAGTTCAGGTATCATTGATTTTGTAAAGTATCACGTGTATGTACAGTATGTGAGGTATGTGTACAATGGCGTGACTTACACACATACAACACTGTCATACACATACATTAAAACACAGTCACACACACACACACACACACACACACACACACACACACACACACCCATCATCGCTACAAGACACCCTGGACAGGCTACAGGCATGGACTACGGAGAACAAGGTCACCATCAACCACACTAAAACCGTAGTCATGCACATCAATACCCCCACCATTCCAGTGCAAGCCCCAGCAGTCACAGTGGGTGCCCATCCTCTCCAGCTGGTGCAGCTCCCAAACTCCTGGGTGTTACCATAGACCACAAACTGGACTGAAGGTCCATAACATAACAGTCAAGGCAGCCCTGTACCGTCTCTACATGCTACGACGACTTAGGTCATTTGGGGACACCCACGCCAGAGCTGAGGACCATCTACAACGCCTTTATTCTCCCAACCAAGGTATGCGTCACCAGCCTGGTCGTCTTCTTTCTCAACTCTACCCAACAACGTCGCATGGAGAAGGTACAGAAATGGCCTGCAGAATCATGCTCGGCGCAGAACTACCCGGCTACAACAACGCTCTTCCAACCCTGAGAATGCCATCCTCAGTGACCTCCACCACCAAGCACTAGCAAGGTTTGGCAGTGGACTCCCTGCACCACCTCGTCGTCGCCACCTCCTGCCACCGGCAGTCCCGCCCACCTCGAGCAGTCCGCCACTACAACAAAATTCAGCCATAAGAGCTCGGCCGATAGATATAAGAACAGCACCATCCCATCTATTGTTAAAATAATAAACAACTCCTGATTTATACTGTACAGCCCTGTAAATGTATGCAACGCACATCATTATGTCTAAGTTAAATTAAATTGTATATTTGTCACTGGCTGCAAATTTATTATAAACCGTTATTATTATTAATATTATTATACTATTATTATTATTATTACTTACACACATATTATTACACACACACAACACACACACACACACACACACACACACACACGGAGGAGGCTCAAAAGTGACGTACATCCTCCCAAGTAAGAGACGCCACTCATCTTTTTCACCCGTACGATGCTATGAAACTTCTCATGACTCACACGTTTATAGTTAATAGTGGTCACCTCTCTGTCTCTGCTCTCTCTCTCTCTCTGTCTCTCTCTCTCTGTGGTGACCGTATAGTAACGCTCAGTCATGATCATGATCCACCTGTGTTACCTTTACCTGTTAATTGGTATATGGGGAGATCTTTTAAGGGTTACACTAGAGCGGAGGTTCTCAACCGGTGTGGGTAATTAACTGCAAAGAGGCTGGGTTCAATTACATTTCCGACGTAATTATTCTGCCAAATTTAAAAATAGATATGCTAGGGCCTCACCATTTCCTCTAATATGTCATGGAAGCCACACATCCTCAACATAGCTAAAGCTGCCTCCGAAAGCTTGGAATGCTGTACAGATGACATAGCCACTTCACTCCTGAGCAGTTGCTTCCAAGTATATAAGGATTCATTCTTCTTATTAACTCTCCTCCTTTAGTTGACAATCTCTCCCTTTCTTTCGCCGCAATGTTGCTTCACACTCATTTACAGGTACTTTAACGGGCAATGTTCGGTGGATCTGGCATCCCTGTACCGCCGGCAAGGCCGTGGGCTCGTCTTGTCCACGGTGCCCACCGTTCTCTGTGGATGTCGGTCACACTAGAATAACCCGTTATAATACATCCTTTCCTCACACAGCCAAACCTGGGAATGCTCTGCCTTTCCGTGTTTCCATACTCATACAATCTGTCTCACTTTAAAAGCTGATTTTCCGGCATCTTCGCGGTGTAGATTAATATAATCTTTTCTTTTATATTTTAATTTATTTTTATTTATTTCCCCACCCCAGGCCCCGTTGTGGGTCGATGACCTGTGCCGGGTGGGATAGTACTTATAAAATAATAATAAAATAATAATAATAATAATAATCTAGGCGGTAATAAGGTCATAGCGGTATATAAAGACAACGATATAATATTACGGATTATTCTGGAGGATTTACTGATTATATTACGGGATTACTGCAGGTGAGGAGGGGGAGGATGAGTGGGAGGTAAAAGAGAGGAGGAGGTGTAGAGAAAACATGAGTGGGAGGTAAAGAGACGGGGAAGGAGGGTGTAGGAGGAAAGATGAGTGGGAGGTAAAGAGGATTACCATGAAGGAATCACTGAGCTTTAGTTCCTGTGGGAACCCCGTTACTCTCTCTCTCTCTCTCTCTCTCTCTTCTCTCTCTCTCTCTCTCTCTCTCTCCTTCTAACCTAACCTCATCCCCTCAAGTAGTAGACTTGGTTGGAGTTGGGTTAGGCTGGAGTTAGGTTAGGTTAGGTTAGGCTGCAAGTTAGGTTGGGTTAGGTTGGGTTAGGCTGGCTTGGGTTGGGTTAGGTTAGGTTAGGCTGGGTTGGGTTGGGTTAGGTTAGGTTAGGTTGGGTTGGGTTAGGTTAGGTTTGGTGATCCCGATTAAGATTTTGTTTTGATTAATCTTCTCAATTAGTCTTCGTTATTATACGCCTTTCTTACATGTTGTTGTTGTGACCAGGTGTTAGTAGGATGTTGGGACTGTCTTGGGTCTGTCTTGGGAATATCTTGGGACTGTCTTGGGACTGTCTTGGGACTGTCTTGGGACTGTCTTGGGAATGTCTTGGAACTGTCTTGAGACTGTCTTAGGAATGTCCTGGGACTGTCTTGGGACTGTCTTGGGAATATCTTGGGACTGTCTTGGGAATGTCTTGGAACTGTCTTGAGACTGTCTTAGGAATGTCTTGGGACTATCTTGGAATATCTTACAGGGTCTTGGACTGTCTTGGAACTATCTTGGGACTGTCTTGGGAATGTCTTGGGAATATCTTGGGACATGTCTTAGGATCTATCTTGGGACTGTCTGGGTCTGTCTTGGGACTGTCTTGGGACTGTCTTGGGTCTATCTTGGGACTGTCTTGGGTCTGTCTTGGGACTGTCTTGGGTCTGTCTTGGGTCTGTCTTGGGACTGTCTTGGGTCCTATCTTGGGACTGTCTTAGGAATGTCTTGGGTCTGTCTTGGGACTGTCTTTGGGACTGTCTTGGGTCTATCTTGGGACTGTCTTGGGAATGTCTTGGGACTGTCTTGGGACTGTCTTGGGACTGTCTTGGGTCTCCATCTTGGGACTGTATCTTGGGAATGTCTTGGGAATGTCTTGGGACTGTCTTGCAGGACTGTCTTGGGTCTGTCTTAGGACTGTCTTGGGTCTGTCTTGGGACTGTCTTGGGTCTGTCTTGGGAATATCTTGGGACTGTCTTGGGACTGTCTTGTGTGACTGTCTTGGGAATATCCTTGGGAATGTCTTGGGTCTGTCTTGGGGTATCTTGGGACTGTCTTGGGACTGTCTTGGGACTGTCTTGTGACTGTCTTGGGTCTGTCTTAGAATATCTTGGGACTGTCTTGGGTCTGTCTTGGGACTATCTTGGGTCTGTCTTGGGATTGTCTTGGGTCTGTCTTGGAATGTCTTTGGGACTGTCTTGGGACTGTCTTGGGACTGTCTTGTGACTGTC